CTCGAAGCACAGCAAAGCTCAAAGCACAGCAAAGCTTGAAGCACAGCAGAGCTCGAGGCACAGCAGAGCTCGAAGCACAGCAAAGCTCGAGGCACGGCAGAGCTCAAAGCACAGCAAAGCTCAAGGCACAGCAAAGCTCAAAGCACAGCAGAGCTCGAAGCGCAGCCAAAAAACGGACGGGCGAATATATGGTACAGCTAGGAGAGTCGTGTGGTCATTAACGGGCGAGAACCAGTCTCGTCGGCGCTCACAGCAGAATCAGGTAGTTGCTCGGCGCAATGCCTGTCTCGCCGGTGGGCTTCTTGGCCTGCCACCAGCGCCCGCTCACGTCGCTGACCTCGAGGATGTCGTGTTTCTGGAAGCTGATCTCGTTGGCGTCGTCTGGATTCGCCTCGTAGCTGTAGATGGCCTTTGCGCGGTAGGGGTACTCGATGCCCTGCTCGCCGCCCATGGGGACCTCGTCCTGGGTGGGTGTGGCGGCATTCATGCCGCCAAACTGCGGGGCGGAGCTGTTGCGGCCCTGGGCGCCCGCGGGACCGCCGGGGTAGCCGCTCACGGGCGACGAGGTCTCGAAGCCGTTGAGCTGGGCCGACGTGTACATTTGCGGCTGCTGGTTGTTGGAAATGTGCGTCTGCGGGCGGTTCGTGTAGCCGTTGGAGATGGGCCGCGAGGCGCGGCTGCCGGGGGTTTCTTTGTGCAGGGCGTACGAGTCGACAAAGGTGCGGTGGCGCGCGGCGGGCTGGGAGCCGTAGTAGAAGATCCAGACAATCTGCGCGTGTTAGCGGAGACACTGGGCTCGCGGGAGGGCAGGGCAGGACAGGACAGGGCAGGACAGGACAGGGCAGGACAGGACAGGGCAGGACAGGGCAGGACAGGGCAGGACAGGGCAGGACAGGGCAGGACAGGGCAGGACAGGGCAGGACAGGACAGGACAGGACAGGACAGGGCAGCGTACGGCAATCATGGACAGCAGGATGTAGCCGGCGGCAGCGGCCTCAAAGGGCGCGACGGGCGAGTAGACGAGCGAGTTGACCGAGGAGGTGGTGAAGACGAGGCCGGCGGCGAGGAAGCCGACAATCTGGGGCATGTCAGCAGGTGCGTCTCTCGAGGCTCTCCCGGGCATACGTACGGCGACATGGTAGGTCCGCTCGGCATCGCTCGCGACGGTGACGGTGACGCCGACGATGCAGAAGAACATGAACACCAGGGTCCACCAGGCGAAGTTGGGGAAGCCGCCGCGGATGGCGGATATTATGCTGGCGACAAACGCAATGACCCAGGCAAGCTGCGACTCGGTTGTCAGTGCGAGGGAAGCCGGGGCGCCACACGTGGTTACTCACAATGCCAATGGAGATGGTGGCCAGGGCAAAGGGGTCGCCGATGATGCGACTGACGCTGAAGGCCGAGGCGCGCTGGCTGGCGTAGCCGTTGCCGTATCCCGATTCCATCTTCAGAGAGGGCGAGCCGGAGAAGCCGTACGCGGGCATGTGAGGGCGGGATTAGGGGTGCGGCGAGCGGCGAGTGGCGGCGACGGGCGGCGACGGGCGGCGACGAGAGAGCACACGGACAGGTGGGAGAGAGCGAGTGCGTCGGGGTGTCGCTGGCAAAGGAGCGTCGCGGTGGACGGGAGTCGAGCGTCGCGGTGGGCGGGAGGGGAGCGTCGCGGTGGGCGGGCGTCGAGCGTCAGTCCAGCCAAGTCGATGTCCAGCACGCTGGAGGCCGGAGGGGGAGGGCCGCTGATAATCTAACGCAGCGCGCGGCGAATACGGGGCGCGGCGCAGTCGACAGGCACGGACGCAGACGGACACGGCGGCTTTGGTGCTACAAAGTACACAACACACTCACGCGGCGGCTGCAGAGTCGGTGAGTCGGGTCGGGCTGCGTGGATGTCGAGGACCAGTAGTTGGGGGAGCGGTTCGCAGGAGCAGCGCTGGCGCAGCGCCGGCCACCAGCGAGGAACCTGCGAGGAACCCGCGAGGAACACTGCTCGGTTTCAGGACGGGCCCGACGGCGACGGGCGATTGGCCCTGCTCTGGCTGCACTGCACACTCGTCTGGCTGCACTGCACACTCGTCTGGCTGCGCTGCACATTCCTCTGGCTGCACTGCGCACTCGTCTGGCCGCACTGCACTCTGGCTGCACTGCGCACTACTGCAGCAGTGGGTAGGGCTGTCACCACGCTGGGGACGCTGCACGCCCGGCCCACTCCACGCCAGGCCCGCTCCAGGCAGATGGTCACCAAGCAGCCCGCCTGTCCAACCGTCTGCAAGGAAGACGCGCGTGTTCGATTCGGACTGGCAATGCGCCTGCACGACGACCGTGTCTTTGACAGGAACCGTGAATGGCACCCTCCAATGATGCCGTGACTTTACTGCAGGCCCAGCACGTGTACCCAGTTGGTTTTTTTTGGAGTTTGGTCGGGCCCTGGACTACTGGACGGGAGATGATCGGGCCTGGCCAGCATGTGTGCGTGTTTCAGCCCCTGCTGCGACGCTGCTGAAACGCCGCTGGCACGGGTATCCTCACAACCGATCACGAGCTTGACAAGATTCGACCAGGCACAAGACGACCAGGTGGAAGATCTGACAAGGTGCGTCGTGAGACGACCAGCTTGAATGCATTCTCCTACGTCATGTTCCACGCTCGTTGAATCCCTTCTCACGTCGTGCTCCATGTTTGTTGAAACCCTTCTCACGTCATGCTCCACGCTCGTTGAATCCCTTCCCACGTCGTGCTCCATGTTTGTTGAAACCCCTCTCACGCCATGCTCCACGCTCGTTGAATCCCTTCTCACGTCGTGCTCCATGTTCGTTGAAACCCTTCTCACGCCATGCATGCTCGTTGAAACCCTTCTCACGCCATGCTCGATGCTCGTCGCCTCCAAATATTGAATGCCGGGGTATCATATTGCATCGCTCATCACAACCTCGCCACTCACCCATCACTCCCCGCCCTCGCCTCCTCTGCCTGTGCCCTCCGCCGCGCCTCCCCCTGCAAGACCCTGTACCCCTTCACCAGCCGTTCCTGATGCCCCGCCCACGCCCTCCCGCCCGCTATCCCCAACACCTGCCTGTCCCGCTGCACCACCAGCCCGCTGCGGCGCCGCAGCTCGGCCACTTTGAGCGCCTGCTGCAGCTGTCTCGCCTCGGCCTCTGCAATGCGCGGCCGCAGCGCGGCGAGCTTGACGAACCCGGACGTGTCGGGGATGCTGGAGTCGGCGAGCGAGGCGAGGGACGAGGCGACCGTGGACAGCGAGGTTGCGCGCCCGACTACTAGCGCGCTCTTCTGGGCCACGGAGAGGGGAGCAGCCGTGCGTGCGGCCGCGGGCGGGGCGAGGACGTCTTTGTGCTTGGTCACTGGGGGGATTAGCGGGTGGGTCGCTTTTGGGGAGGGGGGAGAGAGGAGAGGAGGGAGAGGAGGGGGGGAAAGGCGTACACAGCTCGTTGACGCGGTCGAGCAGCGCTGTCTTGCCCGCGAGCTGCTGCAGTGACTGCTCGATGGCGTGCATGCGCTCGGGGATCGTCTGCGGGCGCTCTGGGGTCGCAGCTGGCGGCCCGCTCAGCAAGTATTCCAGCCGCGCCAGCCGCGACTCCAGCAGCGAGCATGTGAACAGCACGGCTTCGTCGTAGTCGTCCATGGCGCGCGCGTGTTGTTGGTGTTTGTGTCCGGATCGAGCAAGCCGACAGTCGACGCGGCGGCTCATGTAATTCATTAGGGTCCACCTTCGGCAACGGGCCGGGACAGGCCAACGTCACCACAAGCGCTGAAGTCGACGTCGCTCGCCGACAGCCTCCATACTCTCAACAGCCTCCATACTCTCAACAACCTCCATACTCTCAACAACCTCCCTAACCTCCATAACCTCCCTAACCTCCCTAACCTCCCGAACCTCCGTAACCTCCCGAACCACCATAACCTCCGTAACCTCCATAACCTCCGTAACCTCCATAACCTCCGTAACCTCCATAACCACCCTAACCACCCTAACCTCCATAACCACCATAGCCTCCATAACCACCCCCCTACCCAGGCTTCCCATATCCGTGACCCAAGATTTGCCCGCTGCCGGCCGCATGATTGTGCAATAACGGCTGCTGCACTGCGAGAGATGGCTAGCTGCGCCGCGGTCCCCAACGAGTCACGCGACATGGCGGCGAGCACCGATTCACTGCTGCGCGGGAGACGGTAGACTGCCCTCCTGCCTGCCCCGAGCCCATCGCACACGACTGACGGCCACAGGCGCGGGCGCGGAAAGCAGGACGCCGGCCACCAGGGCCAGGCGTCGTGGATCTCCAGCGTCATCAACCTGGCCAACACCAGTACGCCGTCGAGCGAGTCTGTCTGACGAGAGCCTGCAGTACTGACGCCCCACAGTCCTCGGCGCTGGCCTCCTCGCCATGCCCTCGGCCCTCTCGAAGATGGGCGTCTTCCTCGGCATCTTCGTCATCGCCTGGGCCGGCTCGACGGCAGCCTTTGGCCTGTACCTGCAGACGCGCTGCGCCCGCTACATCGACCGCGGGCACGTCTCCTTCGCCGCCCTGTCGCAGCTCACCTACCCGAACGCGTCGATCCTGTTCGACGCCGCCATCGCCGTCAAGTGCTTCGGCGTCGCCGTCAGCTACCTGATCATCATCGGCGACCTGATGCCCGGCGTCGTCGTCGGCTTCGTGCCCAGCGCCGCACACGTCGCCTTCCTCGTCGACCGGCAGTTTTGGATCACCGCCTTCATGTGCGCCCTCCTGCCCCCCCACCCCCCCTCGCGCGGACAGCAGTGCTGACAGCCTAGGCTCATCGTCATTCCCCTTTCCTTCCTGCGCCGCCTCGACTCGCTAAAGTACACGTCGGTCATCGCCCTCTTCTCCATCGCCTACCTCGTCGTCCTCGTCGTCGCCCACTACATCAAGGGCGACACCCTCGCCTCGCGCGGCACAGTCCGCGTCTTCCAGTGGGCCGGCCCCGTCAGCGCCCTCGCCGCCTTCCCCGTCATCGTCTTCGCCTACACGTGCCACCAGAACATGTTCAGCATCCTCAACGAGATTGCGGACAACTCCCACTTTCGCACCACCACCGTCATCGTCGCCTCCATCGGCGGCGCCTGCGCTCTGTACGTCCTGACCGGCATCACCGGCTACCTGAGCTACGGCGACAACATCAAGGGCAACATCATCAGCATGTACCCGACCGCCGCCGCCGCCACAATCGGGCGATTCGCCATTGTCATCCTGGTCATGTTCTCCTATCCGCTGCAGATCCACCCCTGTCGCGCCAGCATCGACGCCTGCGCAAAGTGGCGCCCGCGCCGGTCCGCCCGCGCCTGCAGCGACCAGGAACCCAGTCCGAGCCGGCGCTCGCTAGTCGCCAGCGCCGCGCCCAAACCACGCGCCGAAATGAGCGATCTGCGCTTCGCCGTAGTCACCACCGTCCTCATCGTGCTCTCCTTCATCACCGCCATGACCGTCTCCTCGCTCTCCCTGGTGCTCGCCTACGTTGGCTCCACCGGCAGCACCACCATCTCCTTCATCCTGCCGGGCCTGTTCTACTACAAGATCTCCGACCCGGAGAGTCCCCACCACCAGCGCCTCGTCAAAGACGAGGACGACGAGAGCGAGTTCTCGTCCGGCGTCGAGGGCGGCGCAACCCGGGAGGGGAACCAGAACCGCGATCTGCGCCGCGGACTGCTGAGGCGCGCTGCGTTGGCGCTGGCGCTCTACGGCATGGGTGTCATGGTGACGTGTCTGGGCATCAACATTGTGTTTGGCGCGTCGGGACATTGAGATGCGGCCTCTGGACGAGGTACGGTTCGTTGGCGCAATAGACGTCGACTTTTCAGTGCAATCGACCGTCGGTGTCCCCATGGCAGCTTCTCGTTGATGCCATCGTTTGGGGAGAATCGTTGATGCCATCGTTTGGGAAGAATAGTTGATGCCATCGTTTGGGGAGAATCGTTGATGCCATCGTTTGGGGAGAATCGTTGATGGGGCCGAGGGCATCGTGATGTCGGTGCTACCACCGCTCTACGTGCTGCTCACACAAGCAGCTGGCACGCCCGTCCGGCAAAAACAGCGCAATGACAAAACACGAACGACGACTATGAGCGATTCAGTGAAGGGGAGTGTCCCGCCACCGGCGCGAGAAAACCACTCTCGGGTGCCAGTCCCAGGCACCGCTGTGTGCTCGATTGTGAAGACTGCTCAATTGTGAAGACTGCTCGATTGTGAAGACTGCTCGATTGTGAAGACTGCTCGATTGTGAAGACTGCCCAATTGTGAAGACTGCCCAATTGTGAAGACCGCCCAATGGATATTGCGCAACAGCTCCTTTCCAGATCTGACACCATGACTCGTGCATCTGCTCGTCCTGTACAAAGTGTACGACAAACGCCGCAAATCATGCTGCTAGGCGTGTCCCTACGGACTGGTTCCGCCACATCCCTCCCTCCCCGCGACCCCGCTTGTGGGTCTCGCAGCGTCGAATCATAACCTGTGGTAGCTTAAGCTGCTTTCCTGAAGGCGGAGGACGGAGTCGTGCGTGTCACTACTCCTTTCGTATTGAGAATCTTGTGTGTTTACTAGTCTGCAGCGAACTCCTACATCCTTAGTCCTGATGTCTTGGCTTTGTTGATATCTCCGCCACAGCCGCCACCAAGTCCAGCTTCCGCTCTTAATCTAAACGGAGATGCTTGGCATCGCCCTTTGGTACACCTGGTCATCTTGTGCACTCGGACTCTAGTTACCCACGCCACAGCACCCGTCATCTCTGACCTTCCTTGGCGATACGAGAATATCGCCTCCAACACGCGCTTCATCGTCTGCTCCCGCTCGCTCTGCGCGTTGTGAATGGCGTTGACGGATCGCGCTATATCGCTGCTACACCTGCTTGTGACATGGAGCAGCAGGTAGATTGCATCCGTCGACTGCCAACCGGTACTAGGTATCCACGGCGTTAGTGCCGGAGATGTCTTCAATGACTTTGTTTACGGCCTCCTACATCGGGTGCTGCGGGTCGGTGATCAGCGGACTCGGCACCGGGGCTTTCCGCCCCCGCGAGCATGCGAGCGATGTTTTCTGAATTCGGGCCTTGATCCATGCCTTGTCCACCGCGGCATTCGACGCGGCATGTCCGCCGCACCGCATGTCCCCCTCTTTGGCTCTTCAAGTCCGTCGCATATCCCTTTGATCGGGCATGGAGGCTGGGATTTTCAAACTCCAGGCTGGAAGTAGAGACTGCGGGTTTCTTCGGCTTGTCGAGTCAGGAAGTCAAGTCTCCTTGTACTCGTGAAAGCTGATTCGGTTTACTTGTAACTAATCGGTGTCACCGTCTCAAAGCGAGCCACGCATGTTTCCAATTCAACCCATCGCTATCTGCACAGAATGTCCTATTCTGCTAGTGATGCAGACGTGCAAATCGCCGTACAACCTAATGATCAGGAAGTAGAACGGGGCAGCAGCAGAAGAAGAGACAACATCAATGGGGTCTTGGTGTCGCGTTACAAATACATGGATCCGGTCGATGAATTCTTGCGGCCGTCATCGTTCACTCAACAATGAGATCGTCGCTCGTTATCCACGTCTTCTTCGAAGTGCACCAATTCGACTTCATCGTCTTCAGCGTTAGTCTGCGTAACACTCAGACCAGTATGCTTGGTCGATGTACCTCTCGTACTCATGCTTTCGCGAAGGCGCACCGAGACCTTGGCTTTCGCGTCTGTAAAACCAGACGATGGATTTCCAAGCCTCTCGCTTGTGTGATGCTGATGCGAAGAACCAATCGTAGAGCCAAACACCTCTGGAAGCAGGCGGACAAGGATACTGCGGAGAGCAGGCATGCATAGGCAGATGAAGCCCATGTTGACCTCTACAATTGACCATACCGTTAGGACCCACTGATCCCAAGTCGGGTTCGCAGACTTTGAGAAGGTGACCAAGGATTGGAGTCGTAAAACCGAGACGATGGTAACGCTGTTCAATCAATGTCAGCCTACAAGACGCCATAAGCCTGGCCGAGGGCTACTCACAATGTTCCGACCACAAACATCGCAGACACCGCAATCTTCTTCTTCAGTGCCATGTTGAGCATTGCGACTTGGGATAGCGGAATGACAAGCATCACCAGGTCCATTGCGATGCTGACTGCCGCGTTCGCCCACGCCAGTGCGTTGTTATCGATGCACTTGCCACCGGTATCCACGCCATCCCAAGATGTCCAGGTATGCGAGATCGGCTGGCACTGGAAGATGCAAGCCAACGTGAACGCAATACCGATTGCAGTGTTGACAGCGACAGCAACCCACAGTAGCCTGGTGACCCCCGTTCCAACGAATATCCGCAAGTAGAAGAATGTAAGCGAGAGCTTGAGGAACGGGAGCTCGGCAAAATACAGGATCTGCGTGATGTAGAACCAGCGAGCGAAGTCAGTGATTTGTTGGAACTCCAGTGTCCAGATGTCTCGACCAAGACCAGATGTACCTGCGCCGGCACTAATGACCGTGGAGGCCGTCAGGGACAAACATAGAGTGACCAACAAGCAAACGTCGTCCGCGCCGAGATCCTGGTTGGGAATGAGCTGAGTCATCTTCCCCACGATGCGCGTGAAGACAATTAGAGTGGAAACGACCGCCAGGCCGATGACGATGCCGTTTAGGGTTGCTTCTCGATCGCGCCGAGGGACACCGCATAGTGTTGATGTGGCATTCTTTGTTGTGAGGCCCTCCTTGACGGTACATGACTGCGAGACGCATGTTTCGACCGCGCTTTGATATAGCGCATTTGTGCAGGTGCAAGTCGAGTTGGTCGGCTGACATGGCGATTCCGAGGCAGCTGTGACCAAGCAGGTCAACTGGAGTCTCATGTTAGTCTGATCATATACAAGACACTTGGTATCGTGACTCTCAAAGCAATGAACATACGGCACATGGAGGAAGGGCGTCCAGCCCTGAAGCTAACGTTGAGTTTTGCGCAAAGACCGCAGAGGTAATACACTGTAAAGCAAATAGAACGATCGAAGCCTTCATGTCGCTCACTGGCCCAGACGAGTGACTTTGAGAAACCAAATTTGCAGGAGCCCTCCAGGACATGCACAACAGATGGCCGGGGTCTCTCGCCTGAGACGCACCGCCCGTGGTGATTGCAAGCCTGATCTGGAGCCTTGTTGGAAAATCTGTAGCCAGATCCGATGACACAGGGGGTAGCCGCGACAGCAAATGCAATGCAGTTCAATACTTAGTACTCAGCGAGTAGGAACTCCTGGCGACGCTGAGGGGCTGGATCATACCTCGAGGATCGGGCATCGTACGAGGCGATGCCGCAACAGTGCACACCCCGTATTCGGGCATCGAACTTTTTACTGCGTCCAACTTATGCACAGTCGACCGCAAGCCTTGATATGTTGAGTGTGAGAATCCGAGAGTCGACCCGTCCCGCGGCATCCCCAGCTTTAGTCCCGCTTCTACGTGATACTGGCTGTGCCCGTGGTGTGCGACAAGGTTTGAGCTACGATCGTACAGCTTGGCGCGAAGAATAATAAGACCGTGGTTCGGAACCTTGGGTGGTCCACATCCCTGAGCCGTAAGAGATGACAGTCGCCCGCCAACAACCTGCATGGCTTCCGCGCTATCAAAAATATAGAGTTGTTGGACATCAGCAGTGACATCTGTCGAGACCCAGGGCACCACAGCCTTTGTCGCCCAATGCTCATCAACAGATACACAGTCCCTGCCTCTGGATATGGCTCGAGCGTCCAATTGTTCACTGAGGGCAGTATGCTTATTAATAGCACAGCGTCTCAAAGCAGACAGTCACCATCAAGTAGTCGGGCCTGTGGGAAATAAAGCCGAGTGAGAAGTAGGTACCCCTGGGGAGCGTGACTAAATCCAAATGGCTGGGCGATCCCGGCGCTAGTACCCCGCTAGTTGAGCTTTGCAAGGTGCAAGGGAAAGCGATGCCAACAAGTCCTTTTTGCGCCATTTGAGCGCTAGCCGTACGAAGTACATGAGCGGTCTGTCCGCCACTTTTCGACTGCCGTCGTTTCACTATCGCAAATGCCTGGTCAAGCAAACGCCTGGTCAAGCCCAGTTGAGCCCGAACAAGATCAAGCCTGATCAAGCGATTGCGCCAAACATGTAGCGAAGTATCTGCCTCGGAGTCTCTGAAGTTCTTCGTGGGTACCCATCTCGACAATCTCGCCGTCCTCAACGACAAAGATGATGTCTGCGTGTCGGATTGTGCTCCTGATCTGCTGTTAGCAACCTTTTCTCCTGTCTCCTGTCAGGGGTGTCCTCACAGCCTGTGCGCAACAGCGATCGTCGTCCTCGTCATCGCCGCTTCATCCAGCGCCTTCTGTACAATCCTCTCACCCTGAGTGTCTAGCGCCGACGTTGCCTCGTCCAACAGCAGCAGCCGCGGTTGTCGAATCAGTGCCCTGGCAATCGCAATGCGCTGCCTTTGTCCGCCGGAGAATTGCAGGCCCTTTGACCCACACGGAGTCTGGAGCCCCTCTGGCAACGAAGATACAAACTCGAGGGCATTGGCCTGACGGCACGCCTCTCCAACCTCGACGTCGGACGGTTCGTATTCAAGGCCGAGAGCGATGTTTTCGCGCACCGAGCCCAGGTACAGGGGCGGCTCCTGCTGGACGAGAGACATGTATTGACGATACAGCTTGGGAGACATGAGGCGTACGTCCTGATCGTCCAGCGTGATGCGCCCAGATGTCGGGTCATAGAAACGAAGCAGCAGCGAGACCACTGTACTCTTGCCACAGCCTGAAGGGCCAACGAAGGCAGCGAACGTACCTGGCTTGATCTGCATTGAGATGCCTCGCAGCACCCGGGATGCGTTGCGCTGCTTGTATCTGAATTCGACAGCCTCCATGGCAATGGTGCCGTCCGCTAATGGCCCCTGGCCATTCGTCTCGTCTGACTCGCGGATTTTGGGCTGGACTGTCCGCAGCCACAGAATGTAGTTCGCAGCTCCTTCCGCCTTTGTGATCGAGGTGCTGTACATGAAGAACTGCGCAACACCCTGACCACCGAAGACGACGGCGATGAAGATCACGAAAAACTGTGAGACGGTGTACTCGCCCTTTGCAATGAGCTGCGATCCATACCAGAAGCCAAGTGCCATGACTAGGAAGTCTGCTGATTGCGAAAGCGCGTATGGAATGAGGGCGAACACCAGGTTCCTGATGACCTTACTGGTGACAGCCTGCAATGTGTTGCTGTATTGACGCATGATAGATGTTTCAAGTGTCAGCATGCTCACTGTCCGGATGGACGTGACAGCTTCAGTCGCCAACCCAGCACTGCCCGAGAACTGTGCTTCTATAGCAGCCTCCAGCTTCTGATCGAGTCGAATGCGATAGTAACCTGCGGCAACAATGACGGTCAAACCGCCAAACACAAGTGTAAGCCCCAGCTTCCAACCGTAAGCTATGCCGAGCGCACTACTGGCCGTAATGTTGACCAGAATATTGAACATAAGGCCCAAGTTCGCCGACATCAATTCTTGTAGAGCTGTCGGCGCAGACGATAATTTGGAGGTCAGCGCACCCGAGGAATTTTCTGGCCTGTCGAAGAAGTCTTGATCGAAGCTGATGATGCGCTCAATCATCTCTCTGCGATATCGGTGAGTCATGGCTTGTGCGATGCCGTTGCACGCCAGACCGATCATGAAGTACGCGAAGAGGTTAGCGAGAGCGAGCACGAAGAACATGAGCGCCCAGAAGTTGGCTTCATCTTGCGCCTCAGATCCTTGCAGAGTGAAGACCCGAACAAGACGGGAGAAGATGATGGCTTGTGCCGGGTAGGTCCCACCACCGATAATTCCTCCTACAATCGTGGCGGCGTACCAGTAGTAGAGGTCAACGTTCTCCCTCAGCATGATCCAGATGCATTTGATGAGAGAGTAGCCCAGTGTGCCTGCAGCGAGTTGTTCTACTTCCCGCTCAAGCTGAGTGCTGTTATATTGAGACTGTGTCCGTTGCAAGGTCGCCTTGCGATCGAGGGTATCATCAACATCCTCGGTCTCCTGTAGCTCTTTTCGGATGTCTTCGTCGTTGGCCTTTGTACCAAGATCTTGTGCGCGCACCATTGCCGCATAAAGCCCATCGCTTTCGATGAGCTCATGATGCGTACCCTGCTCATGAATCTGGCCATCCTTCATGACGACGATGTTGTCAGCTGCCATTACGGTCGCAAGCTTGTGAGCAATGATCAATGTGGTCTTGTTGATTGAGACGCGATTGAGTGCGCTCTGCACAACCTTCTCCGCGCGTGGATCCAAGGCGCTAGTCGCTTCGTCGAACAACAGGATTCTCGGATTTGATATGATACTTCGGGCGATGGCAATACGCTGTCGCTGGCCACCGCTCAGCATGCTTGCTCGCTCCCCAACCTGCGTATGGTAGCCGTCCGGTAACGCGTTGATGAAATCGTGCGCATTGCTGTTCTTGCACGCTTCCCGAACAATCTCCATCTGCTTCTCCGCTGGAAGATCTTTCTGGTCTCCGATCAGACCCTTGACGATATTTTCGAAGATGGTGCCTTGAAACAAAGTCGGCTCTTGCTGAATGAGGCGGATGTTGGATCGCAGCCACTTCGTATTGTACTCAGAGATGTCTCGACCGTCGAGCAGAATCTGGCCAGAAGTGGGCTGGTACCATCGTTCGAGTAGACCGACCAGAGTAGATTTTCCGCATCCACTGGGACCGACAAGGGCTGTCGTCTTTCCGGCTGGGATCGAAAGACTCAAGCCTCGCAAAACCTGGGCGGTGGGTCGGGCCGGGTAGGCAAAGCGGAGATCGTGGACAACGATTTCCCCGTTGCAACTAGGTGGCTGTAACCCATCGGCTGATAGTGGGTCCAGATTCAAGGGGCTATCGATGATGGAGAACAGCTCTCCCGCAGCTGAGGAAGCATTAGTAATGGCCTGAAACTGTGGGAAGATGAGTAACGTCGCAGTGGCACCGAGAACGACACTGAGCACAACAGTGAAGACCGTCCCGACATCGCCTATCTCGCCACTCTGAAACATGCGAAAGCCCTGCCAGAAAGCCAGCGATGTGCCCGACATGACCAGGAAAGTTTGACCGGAGAAGAGTACTCCATAGATGACAGACTTTTTGTTGCCTTCCTTGTGCGCCTTCTGCAGGTATATCTCGTAACCATCCACAATCTTTTGATGGGCGCCGAAGGCGTGGATGGTTCTAATGGAGCTGATTGCATCTTGTGCTAGAGTGCCGGCCTGTGAGTAGATCTTAGTCTGTGCTGGTCGTTAGCTGAGAATGTCAAACCCACAGGACATGTGGGAACCCACCACTCTTGCTTCTATTGGCGCATCTAAGGCGATGCATACTCCTGTAATCAAGAAGATTGCAGGTATGATGCTCATCACGATCAGTGCGAGCTTCCATTGGACGGCTAACGCTACGATGAAGCCAGAGAAGAAGAGTGAGATACCTTGGACGCAGGTATACAGCTTCTCCGCGATACCCTGATTGATGCGGTTGCCGTCTGAGATTCGATGTTAGCAATCTGAACACGATTGCCAGAGCAGCTCGCTCACTTGTGGTCACCTGAGTTGCGGCAGAACCAGTACCGTCCTTGTCGAAGTGAGCCACGTCTTGCCGAAGTAATTTGTCTAGGAAGTCCTCTCGTAGGGCGCATGTTGTTCTGGCCGCCGCGATGCAGATGCACAATGTGCCGAGATAGCCAATGACGAACCGAGCGACGAAAAGGTATACAAAGTAAAGCACTAGTTTGTTAATGTTACTTGTGAAGGTCGAGCTATCCTGACCTGTGGCTTGTTGATTGAATTCCGCCGTGGACTTGCCAAAGACAAGAGTCATCAGAGGTAGGGCAGCGCCAACGGCTATAGCTCCTGTGAATCCAAGCGCGTATAGCATACGATCAGTTGTGCTTGCGTATGTAAAGATGCGCTGTTCATCGATGAATCAGCCATCGTTCTGAACATTGAGCTGGCACCGGGACATACGAAGTAATCTCTCAGGCCCCCTTCTTTCTCTTCTTCCTTCGTTGACTGCTTGCGACCATCTTTGGTCGAATGCATGGCCTCAGCAAGGACCTTTTCTGATGTGATTTCGTCCTGCCTGTCGATGGCGCTCATCGTACGTTCATCTCGCTTGATGGTGTCAGAGCTTTGCCTGGTAATCGGGGCTGTGTTGTGGTCGTCTGCCATATTTGGCAATGTCTAACAACAAATGCGCATTGGCGAAGTGGAGGATGTGTCGTTCGTCAGGTGCTACAGACATGGGTAGGTATGGTGCGGCTTTGGCTTTGCAGGCGGCTCGCGAAGCGGACGGCTAAGACCCCGGTGCGACAGACGGCACAACGATCGCCCGTCAATTGCAACAATAAAACGTCATAACAGGCTGAGCTGTTAAAAAAGTGTGTGCTCTAATTCAGAGACCACACTTGTGCGCGTACCTCGAGACCTTTGTTGGGCACAATGTTCTCGTTCCTCGAAGTCAGCCGAGATGAAGGAATCGATGATGCAAGTGGAGCGGTCACTAAGCTAGTTACTCTCATCTAAGTACTGTACCGGTAAGTTAGCGCAAAGCTGTGCAACACAACAAGTGCGCAATATTGTCACAATCCTGAACGACCAGTCACGCTGTTAAATATCATAACTAATGCAGTGCAGCAGATACGTTTAACACAGAAGGATTACCTATGCCGGCAAATAGGTACGGTAACGTACCTCACGGGTATGTGACCGGCCCGGGTATGTGACCAGGTTTTGCCAAGACCACATTAAACTTCACTCTACCTATAACGTAGATTATCACCGAGCCGGCCATATCACCGAACCGGCCACTTTCTCTTGGCACGACCACCTTTTACCCTAACACAACATGCCTTAACAACAACAACTTTAGAATACTACTAGAGAAGGCAGAGTTATCCTTGCTATCTAGGCCTTCTATGCTGGCTAATTTCGCAGTATCCGCAGCGCTGCTAGAGCGTTGAACGTACCTTATTAGCGGGTCTCTAATTGCCTTTGCAATAACGTGATCCACCATCGCTTCGGCCACACCATTGATTCGGCCACCCTGCCAAGCACACCTCACATTCCACATTATAACTCAATGCCGCAACCACCTAATCCTGAGCTGCTTTCTTGTAAGGATAGAATACTCTTTGCACTTAAAGCTATTAAATGCAACGCGTTATTAAGTATAAGATGTGCTACTGCTATCTACAATGTTCCTTAAAGCACCCTTAGTGACCAACGCGCTAGTATAACTGCACAACGCAATCTCTACCCTAGCTGCTTAAATCTTTTAAAGCATAAAGAGGAGGTGCTTATACAAACAATAAGGAAGCTTAATAAGCAAGGATTTGCTCCTACGCTTCTGTACGTTTAAGATATGGCCAACTAACTGCTTGCTATACGCAATAGAGGGAGGGTTGGCACTAACTAGGTCTCCTGGCTTGTAAGCCGGCGCGCCAACGTCAAGTCGCAGGTTACCCACCTGCGCGATCGCCAGAGGGTCCTCTGCAGTAATCCTAAGGTTATAAGCCCCTAGTTTAACCTTGTGCGCAATGTTAAAGCTAAGTATAGTATCCTAGACAAAGATACCTACAACTTTAATAAGACAGGCTTCTAAATAGGTGTTAACGTACTCCACAAGCGAGCTGGCCACCCAAGCGAGCTGGCCACTTTTGCCAAGACCACACCAATACTGCACCTACTTTGCAACATTACAGCACACAACTATAATATATTATACTACACAGTATACTAAACTAGTCTGTAGTACTCTGTGTATCTTTACTGCATTTTTGCGCGTTGTGCCCTGTCTTGCTACATGTGCTACAGCGCCTTAGAGACTGAGTGCTCCTATTAACACGCGACCTCTTCTTTGCCTTCTTCCTATTACTATAGGCCTTAAACTCCTTTAGAGTAGTTAGCTACACTCCCTTAGCAAAGACTAGAGTCCCCTCTTGCTGTAATTGCTTCCTTTTGTGTGATTTACAACGTGTAGCAGCCTTGTTGGCTGCCTGTAGGTCAGTAACCTAGTTGCACACTAAAACTAGTAAATGCGCTATTAGCTCTGCGCCTTTAGTAAGCTAATTAAGAGCATTAACTATAGACATTAGCAAGCTATTAGCGTGTCTCTAAATCCTCTCTTAAATTAGCTTTAATTAAGACCTAAATTCTAGGGTGTTGCTTAGTATTTTAGACTCCCACGTACTGTTGTCCATAGTAGGTGGCGTTAGCGTGCGCAGCTGTACTTCAAGCTTTAATAGCACAGCCTCTAGGTTAAGTAGGACTAGGCCAGCACCTCTGAATCCCCCCTAGATGTTGCTCTCTGTAATTAAGGCGTTAAAAGCCGCTTTGAAGCATAGCAAGAACTCAAGTTTGGTGATGCGAGTAATCTTGCTGCGCATCAGCCGCTCGGCTTGGCGGCCATAGGCCTTCTTCAACAGGGCAAAACAGCCTACGTCAAGTGGCTGCAGTAGGTGCGACAAGTGTGGAGGCATACACAGGGTAATAATCTTGTGTTCCTTGCAGTACTAGTGGAATTCAACTAAGTTGTGGCTCTCGTGGCCGTCCAGAATAAGCAGCTAATGGCTGCTAACAGTGCGCGCCTTTGTGTGCTTATTAAAGTGCTTTAACTACTTAACTCTAAGCTTGTTGTTAGTCTAGCTGTTGTTAGAGACATTAAGAACCTAGTTATTAGGTATACTAGGCTCCTTGTACTAGGCAGAGAGGTGGTGCTTGCTAGAGAAGATAATAAAGGGTGGGATAGACCAGCCCTTCGCGCAGATGCCTTGGATAATACTAGTCTACTCTTGGTCGCCCTGCTGCACTGCCTTTAGTCTCCCTCAACGCTTAGAGCCTGTGACAACAGCTCCTGTTAATATAACGCCTATTATAAAGCTAGACTTGTTAAAGTTGTAGGTGTCTTTATCTTGTATACTATACTAAGCTTTAGTATTCTCTACTAGTTAGAACTAGTCCCTAATTACCTTAGGATCCTCACACAGAGCTCTCTTATAGTTATACTTGCAATTAAATTTAACTTTAAGCTCTGGCCAACGTTTTACAAAGTTGGCAGCCCAGTTCTTGCCAACGTAGGGCTGGTGGCGCTCAGCAAGCAGAGAATTGGCTATATCCTCCACATCAGCAAGCTGGGGTGGGTATCCTCGCTCGTCTAGCTTCAATACATGCTAGACAATTACCTCCTCCTTAGTACTAGTCATCCTTATTATGTTGGGCTTGCAATCGCGTTGTGAAGAGGTTCTAGTAAGGCGTGTGCCTAGGGTGCTTTAAGAGACCTAGTATATTACTGCAGCGCGTTGCACGCTTAGTGTCGCGTCTTACTAGATAGCCTAGAGGGTAAGCTGTATATGTGTTTCATTTAAAGGCTTTTTTATGTTGTTGCGTTGAGGCATTACAGGGAGAGTGAAGTTTGGTGTGGTCTTGGCAAAAGTGGCCAGCTCGCTTGGGTGGCCAGCTCGCTTGTGGAGTACGTTAGAGGGTCTGTTAAAGTTGTTACTATATTAGAGAGGTGTATAAAGCTACTTAGAGTCTAACCTAGTAATTACAAGTAGATAACCTTAATTGCTAGTATTAACACTATAGGGTAGTCTATACTACCCTTTTTTATACTTAAAGGAAAGCACTACAACTAAGCTTAGTACTACTAAAAAGATAAGGACTAGAGGATTACTATTAGTAAGAATAGCTAGACAACAAATAAGATTAGTTTAGCTTAGTTAGAGCACTTTTTAAAGCATACTAACGCGCGTATAGTTAGTAGTTACTAACTACTTATACTTAATAGCTAACGTAGATTATCACCGAGCCAGCCATATCACCGAACTGGCTATTTTCTCTTAGCACAACTAACACAAGTTACTGCAACTACAACTACTTGCTATTAAATAGTAACCTAGCATACTGCGTGCTTGCATTAGATTTAGAAGATGTTTCTACACCCTCCTAGCACGTTTGTGTGTTGTGTCTAGTTTTGCTGCAGTTCCTACAGCGCTAAACAGTTAACTAAGCTCCTAGTTAACCACCTCCACCCTAAGTCTTCTTAGATGGCTGAGCTGCTACACACGCCTCAGCAGCTACCCGCGATGCTGCTGGGCCATACTTAAGTGTGCCACTATGCTGAATCTGCTTTCTCTTACGCAATTTTCTCTTAGTTATTACTGCTAATTGCTCTTTAAGCTCTTGCACGCAGGCCTTAATAAGGATGTTTTTGTACAGCATCTCTTCAGCCCCTTTTACAAGCTTTAAGAACCCCTCTTGCGCTGCACTTAGTAATTGTTAGAAGGAGTTGCTTACAAGCTTAGATTAAGACCTAAACTTGTGTGTATTGCTTAGCGTCTTGGATTGCCACAGCATTTTAGGTAGAGGTACTGCTAGTAGGGTATGCAGCCGCACTTTAAGGCAATCTAACACTACCTGCGCGTTAGTAGGAATAAGCCCTAATACCTTAAAGGCCTTTTAGCAGTTAACCTTTGTAAATATATTAAGGAACACGTCCCTAAAGGCTAGTAGGAAGCCTTCCTTGTTAATATAGAAGACATGTTAGTGTGCTAAGTCTTAAACGCGTTAGGAGTACTTGCGCTTTAATAGCAAGAAATAGACCACGTTAAGTGGCTAGAGGATGTGCAATAAGTAAGGTAGCATGTAGAGAGTAAGGATTTAGTTCTCTAGGCAATAGTCCTTAAACTCCTAGTTAAGATAGCTCTTATAGCTATCTAAGATAAGCAGCCTATACACTCCTACCTAACGTGTCTTTGTATGCGTGTTAAAGTGCTTTAACTACTTAAGGCTAAGTATGTTGTTTGTCTAACTGTTCTTAGAGACTAAGAGCTTCTAATTGTAGGGTATATCTGTCTCCTCATACTAGGCAGAGATGTGGACGCGTCCTTTGTAGATGATGAAAGGTGGGGTTGCATACCCAGCGGCGCAGATGCTCTGGATAACGGTAACCCACTCGCGATCACCTGGCTGAACAAGCTCTGGCTAAGCATGTCTCTCTAAGCCTGTTACAACCTTTAAAGACAAAGCAACGCCTATCTAGAACCTAGTTTTATTAAAGTTGTGCATGTTGTTGTTGTAAACACTATACTTAACTTAAGTATCCTCTACTAGCTTAAACTACGTGCTAATTATCTTAGGATCTTCCTGTAGTATCCTCTGTCTATCCTTAGCTTAATTGAAGGCCATTTTGAGCTTGTCTAAACGCGTCACAAGCCTGCTAGCCCATAGTTTGCTAACAGGCTCTTCACCACGCACACTAAGTATCTTATCAGCCATATCTGCTACCTTATATAGCTAGGGCGCAAATCCTCGCGAATCAAGGTTAAGTATATACTAGATAATTGTCTGCTCCTCTAGTATAGTAAGTTTCTAGCAATTAGCATATACATCTAGTTAAAATGTAATATTGTGAAGGCGATTAGAGACCCGCTAATAAGGTACGTTCAACACTCTAGCAGCGCTACAGATACTGTGAAATTGGCCAGCATAGAAGGCCTAGATAGCAAGGATAACTCTGCCTTCTCTAGTAGTATTCTGAAGTTATTGTTGTTAAGGCATGTTGTGTTAGGGTAAAAGGTGGTTGTGCTAAGAGAAAGTGGCCGGTTCGGTGATATAGCTGGCTTGGTGATAATCTACGTTATAAGAGCCACTAATTACTTTTTTTCTAAAATAAGTGTAAAGAAAGTAAGGTTATTACCCTTTGCATACCTGCTTATGCCTTACACCTCCTTTAGCTACTTAACATAGGTTGTTTTGCTGTATTAAAGCGTGTGTACAAGAAAGAGATTAGAGCCTTAGTAAATAGCTACATTAACTATATTAATAAGAAAGCATTCCTAGACACCTACAGTAAGGTGCATAAGGGTGTTTTCTTGTCTAATAATATTAGATCTAGCTTTAGAGCAGCTGGTTTAGTTCTAGATAACCTAGGGGTGGTGCTATTAAAGCTTAATGTGAAGCTTTGTACGCTAACTCTACCTCTACTAACTGCCACCTCCTAGCAACTAAGGACTCTAAGCAACGCGCTTAAGATAGGTGTACAATTAACCTTACTCTTAAACTAGATTTGAACGCACAGCAGCTCATCTCCAGCTTCAATAATTGAGATAGTGCGGCAGTTCTAGAAAGGAGCTGAAATGATAGTTCATTCTTAGACGCTTTTAGCTGCTTAGATTGCTAACTTAGAGGTGGCTAACAACGCTGCTTCTGCACGTAAAAGTTGCAAAAAAAAGCGTATCTAGGAAGGAGGGACCCTATCACAGGCAGAGGCAGAGGTAATAATTGCTAAGAGGGAGGTGGCGGAGCAGGTGGTTGAGGAGAGGCGTGCAGAGAGGCGGCTGGTGGGTGTCACCAGGCGGTCAACTCCACGCTGCAAAGGATGCGGCAACGCAGGCCACAATATGCGCACATGTAGAAGAAATGCAGCTAAATTAGGTGAGTAATTATATATATTTTTTATCCTAATTGCTTGTTGTGGCGTTAAGTTATTATGGTTGAGAGGTGGGCAGCTACATCAGGGTGGCCGAATCGATGGTGTGGCCGAAGCGATGGTGGATCACGTTATCACGTTTTGACTAGACGTATGCGCTAATTGCTAGAAACTTACTATACTAGAGGAGCAGACAATTATCTAGTATATACTTAACCTTGATTCGCGAGGATTTGCGCCCCAGCTATGTGAGGTGGCAGATATGGCTGATAAGATACTTAGTGTGCGTGGTGATAGGCTGGCGGAATGGGTATACTCCAACGTCCTTCGTGGGTACCCCCCAAAACTTTGTCAATAATACATGGATTCTAGCAAAATAGGGCTTAAAAGAAAGAGAAAAACTACCTCTACATTTCTATAGCAGAGGGTTTTGTTATAACTATCAAACTGCATAAGCTAGAGGCTAGAAAAGGTTAAAAAAGGGGGGGTACCTAGCAAGTATACCTATTAATAGGTATACTTTGCTAGGTAGTGTTAATAACTTAGCTAATACTAGGCAGAATAAGCTAATTCTTTTTTTATTAGAAGGCGCATTACTAGGCGCTTCTATCAAATAATAGATTATGTAAGCGTATCTCTGCTAGTTAAGAAGCTATAAGCCAAAACGTAAAAAAGCATACCCTACCCATCCGCCAGCCTACGTGGTGAAGAGCCTGTTGGCAAACTATGGGCTAGCAGGCTTGTGACGCGTTCAGACGAGCTCAAAATGGCCTTTAAT